CTAGATAGAGAAACGCAATGTTAAACGAAGAAGTACTTATGTTATATTCCTTGGTGTAAGAAAGAAAGGTATGCGTTACCTATTCAGTTTTAGAATTTCTTTATAGTTTTTTCACGTGATAAAGGGAGAAAGAAATTATTACCTGGGTCCTCAGAGTTATTAATTAATCCTCTTTAAAAGATTGCAGGTCAAGCGAACCCTCATTTGCAAAATAAAGATATATCTTTCTCTCTCCATAACTTGTTCTTTTCTCTGTCACCGAAAACCCAGCAGGGGTCCGGACGGAATGAATGAATGAATGAATGAATGAATGAATACCAAGATTATTATAGTTAATTTTTTAATTAAGCGCCTTTTGTGCTCATATACTTTTGCGTTATATGATTGGCACTAACACAATTGTCAATGAAGTCAACAAGATTTCTAACCTAAAAATTCCATAATTTAATTTCGTTAATTTGTCTAAATCAACTTCAAGAATTAAAGTTTTCTTTAGGGCTATACATTTGTTTTTAAAAAACAATTATTTTGTTTAATATTTTTGTAAGTAATTATTTGTTTGCTGACGATAATTTGACATTAATCTCAAACTCAAAATGAACCTGACCGAATCCAATTTGAAACATTTCACTACAAAACTCGAAATGAGTCAACCCAGATAAATTGTGCTGCGTATCGTACGTTACTCATTTTGAGTTCAGTTTTTTTCTATGAAATACGGTTTTTGTAGTCTTTATCCTATTTCACTCAAAGTCCTCAACGTGAATTATAAAGCATATAATTAATTATATTTTATAAATTGCATTGAATTGGAAAATATAATTTAATATCTTAACTATAACTAAATCATGTTAGGCACTTTTCTGAGTTAGGTATTTTGCAAGTTTAAGTGGCATCAAGAAGTTAACATTCGATTCCTCCCATGCGTTAGATTTCTTTATTTCTCAGGTTTGCGTTTAATCATTAATTCTATGTATGAATTAGTTGAAAAATAAAAATATTCCATCATAGTCTGTAGGAATTACATATTATTTAATTCTTTAATTACATTATTTATTATCACTTTAATCTTTATTCGCCAGCTAATTAATTGGAACGTTAATTAATAAATTTAATTTGAGTGAAAATTTAATTTATAAATGGAAGAATTAGTAAATAAATATGTTATTTATTCAATTCAAATTTTGATTTATTTGAATCAAAAATTCTTACATTTCATGCAAATATATTATGTATTTGGATCAAATAAAATAATAATTGCCTCAATTAAAGAGGTATTAGTTTTAATTAAAACAATTAATTATGATAAATAATGAAATATTTGATTCAAGAAAATATTTTTTTTCCCAAGAAAAATATTTTATTGATGCAAATAAATATTTATTTGAATCAGAAAACATGCAGTATTAAATGAAATAATTTTCATAATTGATTCAAATAATTATTTATTTGACACGATAAAATAAAATACTTCGGTTTAATAAGTGTATTTGGTTCAAATACATATTCATTGGATAATAGACAAGTAAATGATGTATTTTTTTCAGTGTATGCTATGTTTTGGTAAATTTTGTTTTTTAATTAATTACTTTTAATATAAATCACATTTATAATGTGTATGGAAAAATTTTATTTGAGACCTGGAAAAGTCAGGGTATTTCGTTCGAGAAAAATTGTAGCAACCCTGATATGTATTGAAAATTTATTTAAAATTTAAATAACAGTTCGTAATTCTTTAACTAATGTGTTGTTTGTATAAAAATTAAGATTTTATAAGGGAAAACTTTTTACAAAAAAATCATTCTAAATACAAGAATTTTTAATATTTGCATGCAACATTGAGGTTAAGAACTCTATATGTTCAATAACGTGTGTTTTAACAATATAAATTAAATTAAACTTGTTTTTAAATAAAAGAAATTATTTTGCTTTAATAATTAAAATCTTATTTTATAAGCAAGAACATGCAGAAATTTATTTATTTATTTAATTTCAATGTACAGGCTTACAAAACAGAGAATAAAATTACCCATTAGTGCTGAAGCACTTAGTTCATTAAAAAATTGAGTAAAATGCAATTTTTTAATTCTGATTCTTATAGGTAATGAAATTTAATATATAAAAAAGTATTATTGTTAATTGTTGTTTATTATATATATAAATTCAAACTGAAATCATAAAAACTTATGAACTTATTCAAACTGAATAAGGGTTTATTCTAGTCAATAAACCTAAAGAACGATTTTTAAAAAGTTTTTTTTTATTTTTTATGTACAATTTACTCCCAAAAATTACAACAATTTTTTTCAAAGAAAGTTGTTAATTTATTAAAATGAATTTTTTTTATATCGGATTGAGTAACTTTTTAAGTAAAAGTAATAATTTTAGTTTTGCAAAAAATATCGATTTTCGTAGCTGCTGCAACGATTTCCCACGGCTTCTCTAAAAAAGTGTCTTACGGTAAGCAAGATATTTTTTAACTAGATTATCTGGAATAAAAACCAGTAAAATAGTTATTTAATGTTAGATCAAATCTTGTTTTTTTTGAAGAAATGAAAAAAATATTACATTAACAAAGTTGCAGCTTCTAAAAAAAATTTTTAATTTCTTTTTTTAAAGCTGCCATTTTGTGTAAATCTAAATATTTTTAATTTTTATTTTGTAATAGTTCGTCTTTATTTTTTAAGTTTTATTTAAATATTTTATTTAAATAAAGGATAGGCCCAAGGTTGATAAGAAAATACTCTTCATTTAGCAATTCACAATTTAGTTTATTGTAAAATCTTCTTGGCGTCGACACAAATAAAGAATTAACAATATTTCATGTTTATTGAATATCAGTCGTGGTACTTAATTAATAAATTCTAGTATTGGCAATAATGAGAGTCATTATTTATTATTATTTTACAGTCTTGTTTTAAGTGAAAAATGGCAGCTGGAGCAGCGTTCACTATGTACAATTTTATAGTTTTAATCTTAATTCATAAAGAAAGTTGGGGACGAAGGTAGGAACTAAAAAAGGAAATGATTTAGTTTTTTATTTCTGATGCAGCAACAACGACGGCATACATCGGACTAGACACAGTAAGGGTAAAATAAACAATTTACTTTTCTCCTTATTGTTTTAGTTATAACGGCCAAAATAGCTCTCATTAAAAACGGCCAAACTAGCACGCGTTATAAAAATGATATTATAAGAGAAGGAGTATCGTGATGGCCAAAGTTAGCTCGCACCACGATTAAGTCTTAATGTAAGAAACGACCGAGATGGCTCGCGTTTCGAAAAGGGCATTTATAGAGTGGCAGCCTAAGCAGCGTGCACCACTGAAACGAGTAATTCAAATAGCGCGCCCCGTGAGAACTTATACTCCCGCAGTAGGTTCGTTATAAATCACAAGTCGTGGTTTAGTAGGTAATTTACCGATAGTAGATAGATACCTACAGTAGCTGAGACAGCGTGCACTGTAGGTAATTTCTCGACGTTTGGTATATCTTAGACAGCTTTAACAGCGTACGTCTTGGATTTTACCATCGATCGCGGTTCACTAGATCACTCCGAAAGGGGACTCTACTCGCGACTTAATCTAAGGACTGATAGCCGAGGTGGCGTGCACCATGGAGGTTTTTCTAGAGATTTTCCTTCAGCAGCCATAAAAGCGTGCACTGAAGGTGGTTTCATGGAATAAAAGGTAAAGGGTAGAGAAAAGGCTGGACAACTCCAACTACAGCTACCTCAGAGCCTAGGCGGCGTACCCGAGAGAGCTGCTTTACATACCTCTTAGGGACCCTTCCCTTTGGACTTGCTAGGCTGCTTGAGAGACTTCACTGGTTGGTAGTCGAGCTGCTTCTGTCGAAATTTACTCGATGGTGAGCATTTAAAGCCTTAGCAGACCATCTCACTTGCGAGAAACGCTTGACGATCAATTAAATTGATCCAAACTACTGAGTGTCTGGCAGAACTCACTCCGTAGTGATGAAACTCAAAATCGAGTCGTACTCGTTTTTCTTTGCACCGTTTCAATTTTTAAAACTTATAGGAAACAAAAATTGTAAAACTTTGTAAAAAGTACACAATGGAGAAATAAATCTGTCTATGTAACTAAATATTTTTCTTTTTTTTTATTTTGGACGATAGAGTTAGAAAATATCTTGTTCATCGTAAAACACTTTTTTTTTAGAAGCCATGGGTAAATTGCAGCAGTCACGAAAATCGATATTTTTAAAAAATTTGAATTTTTGTTTTTATTCTTTAAAACTTACATAATTTTAAATTAATTAAATTTAAGAAAAGTCGAGAAAGTAGTGCAATTTGCGATCTATTATTGATAACCTCTTGAAATATTTTCATTAAGCTCAGGAAAAAAATAATAATTCGAACGAATGAAATTTCGTCTAAAAAAATTCTACATAATGAATTATTATTTAACATATTTTTTATTAACAATTTGTAACAGAATTTTTACTGATATTTATTTCAAAGAATTTTTAATTTATTGAATTGATTGTATTGATTTCATTTCACTTATCTAAACTTTTATTTAATCGAATTATGAATTATCTAAATTCCTCTTTAGCAGAAATGTTATTTATCCAAATTTTTAGTTCAAATAATTTTCAATTAATAGATAGAACTCGATTACATATAAACTCTATACGATATGAAAAATGTTTAAAATCTTTATATAAAAAAAATTTTAATATAAAATAAAATTACTAAATTAATGAACTAATAAAGCGTATTGTGAAAATTTGATGATTTCTCGATTGAAATGAAGGAAATTAAATTTTCAGAATTGTATTTCTTAAAATTCCATTGTATTTCGAATTTTTCAAGGAACCTGTACAAAAAAGGCTTAAAAGAAGTAGTTAAACATTTAAGTTTGTATTTAATATATATATTTATTTCATATAATTTCAATATTTTTAAATTAAATGTGAAATTATTTTAAAACAGTTATTTATTGATATTAAAGAAAAATGTTGAAAATGAGAAGCAGGAATTTAAAAAAAAATTAAATGAAAAAAAATTTAATATAAATGAGAAAAAATAGTCTGAAAATAAAAAATAAAAACTTTATGATATTTGAAGTTCTTTAAGTTGTGCAGAACACCTTTCTCTCCTTTTATATGCTGCGTCTTTCTTTTTCAACCATCCTTTGCAGCGCTCACACTTATCTAGTTGCTTCTTACAATCTACAAATTCTTCGTGTGACTCATCTCTTACTTTATATAATGAATTCATTTGTTCGAATCTTTCGAAATCTGAAACGAAAAAATATTTAAAAAATTGTATTAAGAATAACAAACATATTTTTTTATCGGTAATTACACTGGAAAAAATAGTATTGAATCAAGAAAACCTATGTACTTGACCGTATTCAATCCAAATATTTTCTTGATCCAAGAAAATTTACATCAAACTAATAAAAATTTCTTGGGTCAAGAAAATATTGGCATTGAGTACGGTCATGTTCATAGGATTTCTTGATTCAATATACTATTTTTTTCAGTGTACAATAATTACAAAAATATTTATTTCTTCCTATTTCCTACCATCTTCCAACCATTTTTATCTCCTTCATCATAATTGTTGTTATTACTTTCATTCTCTCTATTTTTTTAGATTTAGGAATCTATTTAACTCTTCCTTCTCTTCGTTTCTTTTTTTATCAAGTTCCTCTCTTTCTTTCTTTTGACGCTTCTCCTCCATTCTTTTCTTTTCGTACTCCTCTCTTTCTTTCTTTTGCCGCATCTCCTCCATTCTTTTCTGTTCGTACTCATCCTCTCTTTCTTTCCTTTGCCGCATCTCCTCCATTCTTTTCTTTTCGTACTCATCCTCTCTTTCTTTCTTTTGCCGCTTCTCCTCCATTCTTTTCTTTTCGTACTCCTCCTCGTACTTTTCCTCCTGTACTCTTTTCTGTTCGAGCTGTTATTATGTTATTATTATTGAAATAAACATATTTTCCATATTTGCAGGCCTCGGAACGACTTTAATGTACAAAAAAGTGGATTTATATTCGAAAAAGTCGATAAAGTAGATTTTTTTTGTATGAGCCAAAAGATCTGAACGTTTAAATTAACTTTTAACTAACTTAATTAACTTAATTAACTTTTTTCAATCTATAAATTATTAAAAATTATGATGTCAATGTAAAATAAAAGAATAAGTTAAACAATTATTTAATTAATAATTTTTTCTTAGATATATAAACAAAATTTTGTTATAAAATTCGTACTTAAGATGCGAAAAAAATTTCGTTCATTTGAATGTTTAAAACTTTTGGAGCATTTTTTTATTTCGACAAAATTTAACTGGTTCAAAAATATTTTACTTTTAATAACTAATGTTATTAGATATTAAATTCATTTTATTAATTCTTCAATGAGGATAATTCTATAATGAATGGTGTCAACAAATTCGTTTCGAAAATTCAGAATCTAACTAATAATAAAACCAACTTTTTGAAATTTATATTTAAGTAAGACAAATGTCTAAAAAAATTCTTAATGTTCCATTTATATAATTTTTTTAAGTATGATTTTAGCAATTTATTCGAATTAAAAATGTTGTCATAGTTTTTAGTTATGAAGATGAAATAAATTTAAATATTTAAATTTTACAGAACTAAAAATAATATATGAAATAATTTTAGATAACATTGTTTAAAAGTAATTGAATTTTCAAAAATTTACAATTTAGATTTTGGAAAATAATTGAATTTCAAGAGAGTTTTAATTAAATTTTTTTTATACTTTTCTTTGAAAATTATAAACAAATATTATATATCATAAAAATCTTAATTGAAAAATACTTTAAATTCATTAAATTTATAAAAATTTTCAGTTAAGTTATTAAATAATATCTGAAATAAAAAAGATCTGATTTGTATACTAAAATCGTAATTCTGTTAAAAATTTTGTAAAAAGATATTTTAAAAGTCGAAAGTCTCATTTTTTTAAAGTAAGTCAAAAAAGTCGTATAATCCGAGGCCAGTATTTATTTTATTTTTTTTTAAATATAATTATACTCACAGTCTCCAAAACTTTGTACTTTTAAATCCTTCCTCTTCTTCTTTAATTTCTTATCTCTTTTTTGCAACTTCCGCAAATCGGCTAGTTTCATCATCGTTTTTAAAAAATCGTCCTCGCTGCTCACGTCACTCTAAAAGAATTGTTACATATACGATTATAAACAAAATTTAATAATTAAAAAAAAGGAGTATGATAATAGTGAGAGGGAAAAAAAGACAAAACAAGAAAAGAAAAAAATTATGTGCAGAAGAAAACTAAAAAAAGAAATGGATAAAAAAAAAACTGAGAGATTATCCTGGCCCCAATGATTGAAAAAAAATTAAAAAGCACGTGGCATTATAATTTAGAAAAAAAGAATAACATTCGCAATTTTAATAAAATAAAATTAGAATAATACATTAAAAAAATACACTAATTCTTTTGTAAAATATAGAAGAGTAATACATGAGGAAAGAATAGAAAAAATTATGTGCAAAAGAAAATTAAAAAAAGAAATGGATAAAAAAAGAGAAAAAATACATAGAGATTATCCTCGCCCCAAAAAAAAATTATGTTCAAAAAATATTTTTAAAAAGAAATGGATTAAAATTTTAAATAGGGAAAAGTGGGAAAAAGAATGGTATAAAAAGAGAAAAAGTAGAAATATAAGAATGAGATTTAATCATTTTCGCATGCTATCTAAAGAAATTGAAGATTAATATTATCAATAATAATTTAATTTATTAGAATATTATTACATTTTAAATGATAATAATGAAAATTATATGTTTACAAGCCTCGGATTATACGACTTTTTCCGACTTTTTTCAAAAATACGACTTTTATCGACTGCTTTTAATAAAATGCGACATTTTTTTTACATTTGAAAAAAATGTAAATAAAATACATTTTTCTAGTATAAAATGCAGATCTTCTTCAATTCAATTATTTAACAAATTGTGAACTAAAATGATTCTTCGCTAAATTAATTATTTTTAATAATTTTAATGAAATACATCACAAATTCAATTATATCAAAATTATTTTTCAATTAAAATTATTATGAAATTTAACAATTGTTTATAATTTAAAAAAAATATCACAATAAAATTGAATTATGTTTTAAAAATTTCAATTCAAAATAAACTAAAATTCAATTATTTTCCAGATTTAAAATCAAATAAAATTTCATTATTCTCAAAATTTTGAATTCAAAATTAATTAAATTTTCAATAATTTGAATTTAAATGCCTCTAAAATTTAATTATTTCTAAAATTTTCCATCGTAAATTTTTTTTTTGAAATTTAACAATTTCAATTATAACTCTAAGGAAATTCAATTATTTTTAACTATTTTAATAATATTCTTTGAAAATTCAACTATCTGAAACCATTTTTCAATTAAAAATGATTTTCAAATTATTGTATTTTGTCCACATTTTCTAATAAATTTTTTGTGAAATCATCTAAAATTTTAATCACAAAACACTTAAAGTTTCAATTAATTTCAAAAATCTCAATTTTAAATCTTTGAAAATTCAATTAAATATAAAAAATGTTTTTTAAAAATTGTTTGATATATTATTTTTAGTTCTGTAAAATTTAATAATTGTTTGCAAATTAACAATATCTTTTGAAAATTAATTACACAGGCACACAAAAAAAAAAAAGTCAGGTCCCAAAAAGCACAACCCCATATTCCTATGTTTTTGGGGTCGCTGAAACCGAATATGACCATGAAAAATTTTTTTGCCGACCTATTTTCCCGCAACCACCCCCTTGCACCTACTCACGGGGGTTGGAGTTTCAAATTAAAAAAAAAGTCAAGTTCGGTGTCTAATCCTACGTTTTTTGGGGCGCTGAAACCGAAAAACGCCACCAAAAACAAATTCTTTACCCCCTTAACCCCCTACAACCCTCTGGGAGGGGGTTAAAATATTAAAATTTCACAAAAAGTCAAGTTCGGTGTCTAATCCTACGTTTTTTGGGGCGCTGAAACCGAAAAACGCCACCAAAAACAAATTCTTTACCCCCTTAACCCCCTACAACCCTCTGGGAGGGGGTTAAAATATTAAAATTTCACAAAAAGTCAAGTTCGGTGTCTAATCCTACGTTTTTTGGGGCGCTGAAATCAAAAAACGCCACCAAAAACAAATTCTTTACCCCCTTAACCCCCTACAACCCTCTGGGAGGGGGTTAAAATTTTAAATTTCACAAAAAGTCAAGTTCGGTGTCTAATCCTACGTTTCTTGGGGCGCTAAAATCAAAAAACACCACCAAAAACAAATTCTTTACCCCCTTAACCCGCTAGAACCCCTGGGAGGAGGTTGGAATATCATTTTTCACGGCGCTAAGTGTAGAAAAATAAATTTCCTTAAGACTTTGTAGGTGCGTATTTGTGTAATCATAGGTAACTTTCTAGAAAACTTTATTTTTGGTGATGTTTTTCGGTTTCAGCGACCCAAAAAACATAGGATTAGACACCGTACTCGACTTTTCGTGAAAAATGAAATTCCAACCCCCTCCCAGGGGTTGTAGGGGGTTAAGGGGGTAAAGAATTTGTTTTTGGTGGTGTTTTTTGATTGCAGCGCCCCAAAAAACGTAGGATTAGACACCGAACTTGACTTTTTGTGAAATTTAAAATTTTAACCCCCTCCCAGAGGGTTGTAGGGGGTTAAGGGGGTAAAGAATTTGTTTTTGGTGGCGTTTTTCGGTTTCAGCGCCCCAAAAAACGTAGGATTAGACACCGAACTTGACTTTTTTTTTAATTTGAAACTCCAACCCCCGTGAGTAGGTGCAAGGGGGTGGTTGCGGGAAAATGGGTCGGCAAAAAAATTTTTCATGGTCATATTCGGTTTCAGCGACCCCAAAAACATAGGAATATGGGGTTGTGCTTTTTGGGACCTGACTTTTTTTTTTTTTGTGTGCCTGTGTTATTTCCAAAAATTTCAACTTTAACCCATCGAAAAGGATTAGTATCAAAAAAAAAATTTTTATTTAAAAATTTGTATAATATTTTTGTTAAAATAAAAAACAAATCTACTTTTTTTTGGAATATAAATCGACTAAAACGACTTTTTGTGTCTTTAAGTTAATTCGAGGCCTGTGTTTTTATAATTAATATTTAATAGGTATTCGTTGACCTCTGGTACCTTAAAAATTAATTTTTAAAAATTAATTTTTTTCAAATTACTATCTTGTACGAAATTTCCTGGCGCATCTTTTTTCTCATCATAAATGTTTTGTATTTGTATACAATTTTTGAATCAATACACAACTTTAAAAAAAATTTCGTTGGTAAACGTTGTGTACTTCAGCTTCGTGAATTGAATTTTGGAATTGTAAAGAAACTTATTCCGAAATTTGGAAACACAATTATACAACTTTGGCAAAAATGAGAAAAAGAATTGTCAAAATTTGACACGTCATAAGATTACTATTAAAAAAAAACACGTGAAATCAGAAAAGGCCAACTTCAAGTTAGGACAGAAGGACAGACCAAGCATTTTATTATTATATAATAATAAGAATAAATTATTAAATAAATTATTCTATAAATTAAGTTTTTGTAAAGAATCGACAAAATAAAATTATTTAACCAAATTTTTCAAGTTAAATTCGCAATAACAAGAATTTTTTTAGAGAAGAATTTTTGTGAAATTGATTTTTCATTTAATGAAATTTTGTTTTTATCTGTTTTTCATACACCTACTTTAGTGAGGTAACAAAATTTAAGTTTCAGAATTTTCAGATATATATATTTCAAAAAATTTCGGATTAAGGCCATTGTTAGTTAATTAAATTTTTGTATCGATTTAATTTTACTTACCTGAACTAGCAACTTTGTCGTCCGCAAGCGGCCGACTACGTTGCTAGTGTGCATTAACCATATTTTTTATTCATTTTTTTTTCAAAAAAATTTAATATTAGAAATGTAAAAAAAAATTTCTTTATATTGGATCTACCACCCAAGTAGCAAGGAATATTGCTCGAATGTCAAGCTGATATCAAGCGGGAATATTTTTGTGACATTCAGGCGATATCATAATGTCCTCTTTACGGGGACATTCCTCGGTGATGTATCTATATGATCTATGTGACGGTCTTTCACACAAAAAATGTAACGCATTACAAAACTTACATCCTACATTTATTAAACCTAAATAATTCTGTGGAACTTTACTTTCATTGAAATCTTTAAAAGACATTATTGCAACTCCTGCACTTTTTTTATTCCGATTATCATTTTTACATGCCAAATTCTTTTCTTGACGCACTTTCTTTCATCTTCCGTTTCCTTAGAAAATTTTTTCTTCTTACATGACAAATTATTTTCTTGACGCACTTTCTTTTCATCTTGAGTTTCCATTGATATTTTTCTTTTCCTACATGCCAAAATTTTATCCTGGCGTATTTTCTTTTCATCTTCAAAAGAAATTATCTATAAAATAGATAATTTCTTTTTTTTGCGCTCTTTCTTTTTTATTTCTGTTTTATTACGATTACGTTTTCTTAATCTCTCATTCTCCTGTCTTATTATTTTCTGCTCATATGTAACTTCGCGCCTTGCCTTCCTTTTTCTTCCCTTCTCTTTAATTGCTCGAATTATTATCTTTGTATCATTTTCTTTACTCAGAAAATTCTTCATTTTTAAATATTCATGTGGTGAAATTTTGTTCACATTATTATCAGTTGTACGAAATATTTTCTTTTCACTAGTGTCATTTAGAGAATGTTTAATTTTTAAATCTTGTGTTAATACAACTCTGTTAATATTATTACTGTGCAAAGGATTAAAAACAGAACAAGAGCAACAAGAACAATATAATTTTTATGTTCGTAAGTTCAATTTATGAAAAGACGGTTCTAATCATTCTCTATTATCGAATTCCTATTGTGAGACGTTCTTACTGCCGGAAAATGATTTAAGCGATTATTTTCAAACATTGACTTAAAATGGTTTCTCATTTTGTGATTATCAGTTTCATAATTTACACGGTTTGGCATTACGTTAAATAATACAGATGTTGCAAATGCTATTGCATATACTCCACACTAAACACTACCAAAAGGTTGTTGATTAACAGCTTCAAAAACTACTGTTGGTTTAAAAGGGAACAATCTAATTAAACATTTTATTTGATGCACATTTAAACACCCCTCATTAAGGCT